AACTGTGAAAAAGATATCACAAGTCTTTTTTCTTTTCTTTTCTTTTTATTCTGTTGCTTGAAGCCCTAATCGCAACAGTCTTAAGATCTAGATATGTGCACTTTATATCTATCCCATCACACCCGTATAATTGAGGACTGTGCTTGAATACAACAGCTTTAAAAATACTTATGATACTAATTTTAGATTACATGGGTAAATTCATCTTGGTCCAATTCAAATTAGAATACAGTAATAGAACTATCATCTTATTTTCTTTAAAAACATACAAATAAGTCTCTTGACCAAGTTATAAAATAATTCTATTTAACTCTTAGAATAATTTAGTGATTACTTTCCAGGAAATTTAAATCAATAAGTAGTCATAACACTCATTCATGTGGCAACTAAAACCAAATCACAGTTTATCAAAATGACCACTTCAAACTTTATTTGATAACTGTTGATCTGTATGTAATTTCCAATAATAAATGAAAGACTGATTTTCTTTTGGTTGAAGGTAACGATCGTGGAGAGTCAAATTTCTGCAAAGAATAGTTTCTTCAAAGACTGAGTAACCTACTATTTTTAAAGGCCTTCAGAATTTGTTAAAGGAAGGTTGAGCACAGACACACATACAGATAATTCAATTTACCAGGGCTGCATTATAAGTGGCAAAACCAGAGCTTTCATGGTCTCAATCAAAGCAGCCATGAGAAATAGCAATCTTGAGCTGGAAATCAATTTAAAACACCAATTTCCAAATTTGGAAACTCCACAGATCTAAAATGAAGCAGTAATAAATAAGAGCCAAGAGTACCAAACACACCTTTCTCTCCCTTTATAGTCTGACAAGGTCCAGGTGGATTGTGAGTTCAGCCTGGTTTCTCCTCTCTCGTCACTTAACATTCTATTTTGATGTGTCGTACCCTGTACTTCCTGTTACTACATCTTGATATTCTCCTGCAAATCATGACTCACTCTTAAATCATAGAGAGACTCATCAAAATCCCAAATTTCACAGCACATAGGAACTCAGTCCTGAGAGGCAGCATTCTTGGAACATTACTTGAACCACAGAGGACAAAAATATCCAGCAAGTCTGTGTAGAAGTTATGTCAATCCCTCTCTGAGTCAACATGTTTATGAGATCAATAAATACAAGCTCTACGTGTGGTAATTTGGGCCTCCGTGCTCCTTATTAAAACGTGTTACATGATATGTTAAGTGAAAATTGGTTACAAAACAGAAAGTACAGTGTGATTCCAAATAAAAATTTTTATGTGTGCGCATGTGCCTATGTGTATGTAAGCACACATATGCATTTAAAAAGACTACAAAAATATACATCAAGATGTTAGCAGTAGGATCATGGGATATGTTTATTTTCTTTTTTCATTGAGATTTTTCTGTATTTCCTAAGGTAATTTGTGTTAATATTTTTCACAACAGGAAAAAACAACTAATCTTCAGAAAATGCCTTTGGGCTGTTATGCCACAAATCAATCTACAAAGGCAGAGAGGAATTATGGGTAACTACGAGATGGAAAACTTGCCTGGAACCGTCAAGAAAACCTGAGGAGCATGGGGTCGGCCGTACAGATTACCCATGCTGCTCAGGGGCATGGGAGAAGGCCGGCCCCTAGGAGGGGGTCAAGAGGGCAAGACAGAAATGAACAGAGCCTCCTGCTTTTAAAAGGTACTGAGGAACCCTAAGTGTAAGAAACATGGAGGTGACTATGTCATTCTGTAGACCTGGAAGGGAGCAAAGATATCAATCAGTAGCTATTACCTATTCACCCTCAGTTTAAAAAAAAAAAAAAAAAAAAAGACGACACCAGGAAGTCACATCATTAAATAACTTTTTAAAAGTGCTTTAGGTTTGTCAACAGGCCACACTTGGTCACCCTCACAGCACCGTATTGGTGATCCAAATCAGACAGATAGATAAACATAATGGTGTGGCCCAGAATTTTATAATCCTCCATCCGACAGCTAAGAAAGAATACCGTAATTTATATACACTGCCTGGAAGTCCTTTAAAAGCAATTTCAGGGAAAGATTCAAGTTCCCAAAGTTATTACAAATATAAATTTGAATATGATCTCAGAGTTACATTTTCTGTATGTTAGCAGTTTTGAATTAATTTCTTAAATAAGAAAAAGAAGGTGTTCAGTAAATGTTAAGGTTACTTCAAAACCCAGATGCAGCTGAAAACATGCTGCCCCACCAGCCCCAGGCTGCTGCCATCCGGGTCTAAAAAGTGTTGTTACTAAGGGTGTAAAGATGCTGTCAGGGGGGAGCTTGGGACATGGACTGACTCAGGGCCACCCTCACAGGGCCAGCACTCACATGTCATTCTGTTGCACACCACCAACCAAAGAGAAGAGGGAAAATTCATACACAGCCTATTACACAGGTGGCCAAGGACTTTTCAATGTCCTGTTTGTTGAATGAATATATGTAGGAGAGTTGAATGAATGCATGATTAGGGTAAACACAAGTCTGCCCACATGGGCACTACTGACAAGGAGGGCTAAGGAAGTCTTTGTAGGGGGCTTCTCTGGGCGTTGTCAGATGTTGAGCGGCATCCCCAGTCTCTGTCCACTAGATGCCCGTGGCATCCCCTCTTGCTGTGACAACCGAAACGTCTGCTGAGAGGCAAAGCGACACCTGGTTGAGAACCACGGATGTAAGTGAACCTCATTCAACCCAAATAACAACTTGTTCAAATGAGGAGCTCTAATCTCCTCCTTTTTATCCCATGGAAATGTACAACCTCCAGTCTTAGGGAACTCTTGCAGGATGATAACCACCCTTGAGAGCTTTTTCTCATCTAGTCTGTTTTGTTACCCTAATCACGGCTTCAAGGGGACGATTTGCTGAGCACCTACTCCATGCCAGGCGTGGAGCAGGGGCACCCAGGCCTGGCCACTGATTCACCCCTGATCAGGCTTGGCATGGCTGTTTTGGGGCTCACTTTACCACTGTCAAAGAAACGCCAACACCCTCAAAAGAGGCAATCAGTCCTTGCTGATCAAGGGACCTCATCCTTCCAGTAGGGTTCTTTAAAACCTTGCCATTTTTAGTAACTCAATGCATTTCTAGGCAACATTTAAAGGCTTTTATAAAAAAGGCTGGAGGACTGCACTATATTTGGCATCAAAAGGCCATCATCCTTCGCATGGAAAGGCCATCACTTTTCATACACAAGGGGTTTTGTGAGCAGGACAGTTACTGGAAACTCTACTACACTTAATGGACAGTCTCCTTAACTGTTGGACCCTAGTGCCCTCCTAACACAATTTATAATTTTATAATCCTCATAAATTCAGACTCCTCACTGACCTTTTCCAAATAAATGTGTACGGGGGGGGGGGGGGATCAGAAGGTATTTCGTTGGGCAATAAGGTTCAGAAAGCAATTTGGGCTCATTAATAGATGCCCGGAACATGTTGGCCTTCTCAGACAGACCGCCCACCACACACACATCAAAAAAACACAAAAAACAAAACAAAAAAACCCAAACAAAACCAAACCAAAGACAAAGCACAGATGGGAGGGGATGGGTGTGTGTGAGCTGCCAGGGCAACAGAAACCACACACACACACACACACACACACACACACACACACACACACTCACAAAGAAAAACCTTTAAGCTCGCTGCTCAAAATCCAAAATGGCCAAAGTGACTTTAAAGTTTCTGAGACGCTGCCCTAAAAAGGCTCTGGGGTGGGGGCGGAGAAGGCACCTCGAAGTAAATAAGGCAGTAACTTGTCTCCCTCTCCCGGGGCTGGGCTCCCCAGGCTGACAGCCACTGCACAAAACTCCTCCTGTGCGAGCAGCGGAAACTCCTAATGAGATTAGTTGGTGTGTGTGCAGACATTACTTAGCAATGACTAAAGGGGCTCTCTCTTCCTGCAGCAGCCAGTGGAAAATTCAGGGAACTTTTTCCCCCTGCAGCAGCAGAATCCATTTAACCCTCTCCCCAGCCAACTCCAAAAACAGCTCGGCCTCCGCTTCTCGTCTGCCCCCACTCGGGGCCGGGGGACTAGGGGGAGTTAAAGACCGGCCAGGGGCTTTCAA